TGAGGCCTCAGGCTCAACTCTTCACCTCCCCGTGCCTCAGTTTCCACTTCTGTAAAATCGGAGACCGGCTTATCGCATCACAGAACTATTGGCAGGGGCACACGCAGCACTGGGTAGCACCTGCTAGGAACAGCAAGACATGTGACCACGTCCGACCTTCCAGGCCTGAGCTCGGGGACCGGTGGGGACCCAGTTGGACCCACTTCATCTAGTTGGAACCGCAAAGCAGCACACATAAAGCTGGCCCTTGGGCCCAGTACTGACCGGTCCATCCCTGACCCGGAGGCCTCAGACCAGCATTTCTATACCCAAGAGTGACAAATGCTTATAGCATCCACCCGTGCCTGCATGTCTACACCAGGCAGGTCTACACCGGGTCTGCACCAGGCAGACCCCCAAGGCCCTCTTCTGTGGCAGCACCCCAATCCTTGAGAGGCCCAGCCCTGGGCTCCTGGAGGGTGTCCTCCTCCGTCAGGGAAATTATCCAGGGTAAGCTCAGGCGCCATTGGCCAGGGCTGGGTCTAGAGCCATCTGTCTTTTCCTGGTCCTGCAGCGTTGGAGGTGGGGGGGGGTCCCCAGTCCAGAGCCTGCCCAGCAGGCAGGAGTCTAAACTTCATGGTGCACTGTGGAGAGGGGGTGTTTGGTGGCTCAAGGGCCACAGCACCTCCTGTGTGCCTGCCTGGGCCGTGTCAAAGCTCGGGAACCAAGTGCAGTAACAATAACAGCAACCATTATCAGTATCCCGTGGAACCGGAAGCAGAGGTCCATGAGGGTCATCTACCTGCACAGTAACCCAGGCAGGAGCAGGGGAGGAGCCCAACCTCCCGCCCGCCTGTCAGCACTTTGTCACTGGCCCTGCCCTGTGACACACCTCGTCCCTGACCTTTGGAGGCAGTGGGGGTGGCAGGGTGCGGTCACTGGTATGGGGAGCCAGCCTCTCCTGTGGGTCCCCAGGGGGAAGGTACCTTCGGGGCAGCTGTGTTAGGGGTGGGTTCCTCGGGGGCCCTGGCTCTCGGACAGGTGGCAAGGACCCCCTTTTATTGCCCCCACCCACCCCATATGCTGCACTCCAGGGGTCACGGTTGGATGAATGAGTGAACGCAGAACCCGTCTGAGATGGAGGTCGTGCGCCTGCCCTCTGTCAACAGGGTGGAGCACCTCCTTGGACCTCTTTTTGGGGCCCTGGCCCAGGCCAGGGCGAGGAAAGTGTCCGGACTCGCAGCTTGGCCCACTCCTGTGGTGTCTTGCCTGCATTCTGAGGCCCCTGCACAGCACAGGGGACAAGCCCAGAGCAGAATTTTCCACGGAAAAAGTCAGCAACAAAAGCCCCCGCCCAGCTTCTGCGGACTCACAGGCGACTCAGCCTCCCTGGTCTCCCTGCCAGGGCCCTGTTGAGGTGCCCAGGGCATGCCCTCTCTGTGCTGCCGCTGGAATGCAGCGTGCGTCACCCTGTATCCTCCTGAGGGTCTAAGTGCGGGAGGGGCAGCATGGTCAGGCGTAGGGCAGCTAGGACACCGCCAGCCATGAATGATGAATGATGAATGAATGAACCGCCTCAAAGATTTTGATTCAAGCTCATAAAGAGTGGATGGTGCACACCTGTAATCTCAGCACTCTGGGAGGCTGAGGCAGGAGGATTGCAAGTTTCAGTCCAGCCTGGGAAATTTTGTGAGACCCCCATCTCAAAATATAAACATGTGAATGCTGCCACCTGCCTGGAAACTACAAGGTACCAAGTTTAATCCCCAGTACAAAAAAAAAAAAAAATTAGAATGTGTGTGAAAAAAGAGAAAATCTAAGGATGACAAGAGAAGGTCTGGGGATGTAGTTTGGCTCAAAGGCCTTGGGTATAATTCCAGGCACCACAAAAGCAAAACAAGTGGGCCTGGTCCCTGCTCAGGGCTGTCTCTGGGGCTCACCTGTGCATGGCTCCCTGTCCGTTCCCCAGCAGGAGTTCAGAGCAGCCCCTCCCCCTGCGCACCTGTCTCCACACCTGTGACCCGGAACTCGCAGGATTAGGGTGCAGTAAGACTCCGTGTGGCCTCAAACACGAAGTGTTTCTGTCATGAGTGGGAAAACCCAATGCAAAGGGAGACCACAGCTTGGAACAATTTCTGACTTTTCAGCTGAATCTGATTGTGCACCAGTTTCTCCTTCCCTTTAACCCCTGAGCTGACTCCCGGGGTGGCTGGTGCTAGGACTTCCACCCTGCAGCCCAGGAACCCAGGTCCCGCTCTACATCTGTCCTGTGTGTTGTGATAACTTAAAACAACTGGTTAAATGAACATAGTATAGAACCACCATTTTCCCATTTCACGGCGCTCAGTCCAGTTCCTTCATCAGGTCACGCGGCTGCCTCCTCTGTCAGTTCCAGAACACTTTCATCACCCTAGGTGGAAACTCCACACCTACCCACCCCTGCCTCCACCGAGCTCTGGGCAACCACTGTTCTGTTCTCAGTCTCCCTGGATTTCTCTGTTCATAGAAACACAAGACAATGCATTGTGTTTGTGTCTGGCTTCTTTCACTCAGCGTAGTGTTTTTGAGTTTTCCACACAGAATAACAGGATTTTATACTGTGTTCCTTTTCGTGGCCAAGTAATATTTCACTACGTGGATATACCATAGGTTGTGTGTCTGCTTCTCTCTCAGTGGACCTTAGGGTTATTCATACCCGTTGCCTGATGTGAGTTGTGCTGCTAGGAACCCTTGTGTACACGTTTTTCCTGTGTCTTCACTTCCTTTGGATTCACTTCCTTCTCTCAGGAGAAGAAGAATTGCTGGGTAGCTCTGTTGAATGCTTTGTAAACTGTTGTCCACACAGCCACGTGGTGAATTTTTCCTGTGTCTTCACTTCCTTTGGATTCACTTCCTTCTCTCAGGAGAAGAATTGCTGGGTAGCTCTGTTGAATGCTTTGTAAACTGTTGTCCACACAGCCACGTGGTGCCACACCCCGCCTGCAGCGCTAAAGGACTCCATTTCCCCACATTTTCACTGACACATGACTTTCCAGCTTTCTTGTTTTCAAACATACCGGTCCCGGTGGCTGTTTTGTCTGCGGTACTAAAGATTGAACCCAGGGCTTTCACGATGAGCTCCATCCCTAAGCCTTTCTTTATTTTGAGACAGTTGTTACAAGTTGCTAAGTTGACCAGGTTGAGCCTAGCTAGAGCTCGCCATCCTCCTGCTCCAGCCTCCCAGAATGCTAGGATCACAGGTGTGCACCGGCACGCTGGCTGGTGTGGTTTTGATTTGCTTTCCCCAGTCAAGTGTGTGGCTGTCCATGCGTGTCTTCCCCTGAGAAATGTGTTGCCAGGCCCCTCTCGGCCGAGGCGTTCGCTGTGTGTGGCTGTCTGTCTCTGTCCCTGTCCTCCCTCAGCCCGTTCCGGTCCCCCAGGGCAGGCCCCATCTGCTGAGCTCCTCTCCCCACAGGAAGGGAGAGTTCTGTGGCCCAGACCTGCTGGGGGGGACTTGGGCAACCAGGAGCTTCCTTTAAGCCCAAATCAAAGCTGCTCCGGCCCGTGGTGGTGGCCCGTGCCCGGCCAGGTTCCCATCCAGCTCATTTCGCCGGCTTGGTTTCTGAGCATCTACAATTACTTCGGCTGAATTCTCCAGATTCCGGCCCGCTCCCAGCCCCACCCGTCCGATGCCCTTCCTCAACGCCAGCCAGGGGTGTGGCCACCCATTGTGCCTGCGAGAGACCCGGGGGGTCCCGGCCAGCTCAGTGGGTGGAGCGGGCAGGCCAGGGGTTGAGTGCCCTGCCGCGGTGGGTGCTGGGGACCGTGCAGCTGTAGAAAACACTGCCTGGTTTCTCTCCGCCGGGAGGGGCCCTGGGCTGGTGGCAGCTTGGAGGGCCCCGCTGGTCCCCTCTCCAAGCAGCTCTGGTCTGTGGCTTAGAGGCCCGATGCTGTTTTGCATCCACCCTTCCCTGCTCCCATCTTGACCTTACTTCTCTGGGTGCTGGAACTGAACAATTGGTGCAGTGCGGTGGAAAGCCGCTGGCATCTAACCCCAGAAAGATAAAGAATGGCCGTGGGGCCGGCCGGCAGTTCCGCTCCCAGCTGTGTACCGAGAGAGCTCCAACCCGGACTGGACTTGGGCGGAACCCCCGCCCCCCGCGGAGCGATCCGCAGCTGTGAGCAGCAGGCACGGCCCGCAGTGGGACGGAATAGTACTTGGCCTTAAAAAGGACAGAAACGTGGGCGCAGGCTCTGAGGTAGATGCACTTTGGAAGCATCCCACTGAGTGAAAAGAGCCAGACACAAAAGACCACGTATGGTGAGATTCCATCCACGCAGAGTGTCCGGGACAGGCTAATCCGTGGGAACGCAGGGAAGATTAGCGGTTGCCAGGGGCTGAGGGGGGCGGAGGGGAGTGCCGCTAATGGGTCTGGAGTTTCCTTTTGGGGTGATGAAAATATCTTGGAACTTGATAGAAGCGGTGGTTGCACAACACCGCGCATGTACTAAATGCCGAGGAACCATATACTTTAAACTGGTTCATTTTATGTTATGTGAATTTCACCTCATTAGAAAAACAAACAAACAATCAGGCCAATAATAGCTCCAGTTTGGGGCGAGCTTGGCAAGTGCCTTCCTGCCTGGGAGTTGCTAGATTTATTACAATGGTGCCCTCGGGGGGCTGCTGGGAGGGTTCGCTGTTGCAAGGTGGCACCTGCCATGCCCAGCAGACAGTAGGTGTGCAGTTGGCAGGCATCCAGGTGGGGGGAGGCAAAGCCAGTGGCCCCTCCCTGGGCGGCCTGCCTCTCTCCGGGGTCGTCTGTGCCCAAGGGCCGGTGCACACAGATGTGTCAGATGCCCGTTTCTCGGATTTGGAAACCGAGGCTGAGAGCCCTTCCTGGGCTCGTGCAAGAGCTAAGGCGGGAGTCAGCGCCAGGGTGGGGGCTTGGCTGCCTACCTGCCTGCCGGCTTGCGAGTCTGCCCGCCAGGTGCTGTCTGCCCGCCCATCCCATGCCTGTCTCCTCTCCCTACTTCTGCAGAGCACTGTCGTCCGTGGTGGCCCTGGGAGCCAACATCATATGCAACAAGATTCCTGGCTTGGCCCCGCGTCAGCGTGCCATCTGCCAGAGCCGGCCCGATGCCATCATCGTGATCGGGGAGGGGGCACAGATGGGCATCAACGAGTGCCAGTACCAGTTCCGCTTTGGCCGCTGGAACTGCTCCGCCCTGGGCGAGAAGACCGTCTTTGGACAAGAGCTCCGTGTAGGTAAGGGTGCTTCTGGGCTCTCGGGCCGGCCAGGGTAGAGGGCAGGGGCCAGGTCAGGCCTGGCTGCCATGCTTGCTGTCCTGCACACGGCTCCCAGTGACCAACTTCCTTGCCATTGGCCCTGTTCAGGACTGGCCATGGGGGCCCCTGGTGCCCAGCGAGTAGCTGAATACGTGCAGAGGGTGCTGCCTTTGGACCATGAGGCGGGGTCACCACTAGGCACAGGAATCTGGTGGTGAGGGCTGTGGGGTGGGAGCACATCCCAGTGCCCAGCAGCCTCCTACACCCACGTTCACTGCTTGTCTCCGCCTCCATTTCTGACCCAGAAGGAGGGATGGTGTAGCATGTACTGCCTGGGGTTGTTGTGGGCTTGGCTAGGACTGGGACTGACCCTGGGAGGGTGGAAGTGATGTCCTGGCCCCGGGGTGGGAGGGACTTGGGTAGAGGGACCTCATGAGCCTGGGGACACTATGGCAATGGTTGGAGGGAGGGGTGGTATGCAGGGGTGGGGCTGGAGAGGGGTGGGCAGCACTCATCAGGATGTGCCAAGTGAGAGCGGCATGTTCTGTGCCGATGGCCCAGTTCTGGGGGTCACACAGCCTCTCCCTGTTCGCACAGCCTGGGGACAGGCTTCACCACACCACTTTACAGACAAGGAAGCCGAGGGCCAGGAAGGGTCCTGAGAGCACTCAGAGTGGCTTAGTGAAAAAACACGACTTCTGGAGCCTGACCTGGGTTGAATTCAGCTGTGCGACCTTTTAGCACTTCCCGGGGGCCACTCTGGTCCTCAGTTTCTCGTCTGTGGCAGGAGCTCTGAGCCAGCGGGCGCTCATCTGTGTCCCTACGGCCTCTTCCTGTGCCTGAGTGCAGCAGGCGCTCAGGAAACCGCTGCAGGAGGCATGAAGGAGGAGCAGCGCTTTGCCCGCCCAGCAGGCTGTTGGGAAGGTCAGACGGGGGTGCCCAGTGCCAGGCTTGCAGGTGCCCAGCCTGCGGGCACAACACGACCTTCTGATCCCGGGAGCCCAAGCCACTGAGCAGGACCACAGCTGCTGGGTGGGACACAGGCCAGCGCCAGGCTCTGCAGGGCTGGGAACATGGGTGTGGGGCTGGGGGTGGCACCAGGGAAAGCCCCCGGGGGCCCCTCTGCGGTGAGCAGCCGTGGGTGGCACCTGGCACAGCCAAGAGGGCAGCCCCGCCCCATCCCCCAGACTGTGCCACCCAAGTGCAACTCCATCCCTCCAGGTGCCAGCTGGTGCCCACCTGCACGCCCAGCCTCCTGCTCCCCTACTCCCACCTGGAGAAACTGAGGCCCAGGAGGAGCCCCCAGGTCACCGGCTACCACATGATGGGGAGCTGTGTGAATCTGGGAGTCTGCCAACCCTTCTGGTCTTCCTCCTCTGTGGCAGCTGCCCTGTGCATGGGCAGAGAGGTGGGAGCTGGGCTCCCCAAGACAGAGGTGCAGACCCGGAGGCCCCAGTGCCCCAGAGAATGTCTGGTTCCTCGAGGCTGTCCCTGCAGGGCGACACAGCTGCCTGACCCGCAGTGAGCACTGTTAGCTCCGGATCACCTGAGCGTCATGCCCGGTCCCTCCTGGGAAGTAGCCTGGGGCCCCAGAGGCACTGATGGAAGGAAGTAAAAGCAGCCCTTGTGTGTGGGGCTGCTCTACTACACCTGCAACCCTGAGTGCCTCAGCCTTTTTTTTGTCCCCCTCTGCCACTCCCCCGCCCCTCTCCCGGGCTGCTCCTTACCTGGCCCTGCTGGGGGCCCTCCCTCCTGTGAACCCAGCCCCTCTCTTCTCTCGCCCACTGCTCTAGGTCCTGCCGACCCCAAGGAGCTGCTGGCTCTACAGCTCAACATCTGTTTAAATCCACCATGCCAGGGTCATTGCCCTGACCTGCAGCAATACCTGGTGTCATTGCCACTGTCTACTCTGCTCATGCTGCTGCCAGGCCTGCTTCTCTGGTCCTTTCCTGCCAGCCCCATCAGCCCGTTACTGTGTTAAGCAGCAGCCATGCATGCCATGTCATCTCCTTGCCCCAGAACCTGCAGTAGCTCTCTATTTCCCTGAGATAAAGTTAACTCCTTAGCCTGGAGCCTCAGTTGTCCCTCCCAAACTTCACCCCTTCTGCCCCCCAAACCCCTAACCTGTCAAGCCGTGACTTTTCACTCCATCCTGGGGCTCCTTCTTCCCCCCAACATCCTCAGAGGCTTGATCCCACACCCTCTCCAGACAGACTTTCTGACCCCCTTGGCTGGGTCTCACTATCCCTCCAGGAGGACACAGCTGCTGGCGGTCACAGGCGGTGCGTGGGCCAAGCCGTGAGGTGGCCCACATCAGAGGTGTGCTGGTTGCTGAGCATGGACGGGAGCCTGGCCACGAGCTGGCAGGGCGCCGGGGCACGTGTGGGAATGGCCACTCAAGCAGTGCCCATTAATGATTGTCCCCAAGAGCGGGGCAGTCTCTGCAGGCAACCTTGGGCCAGCCCTAAATCTTGAGTGCTGAAGGGAATCCCTTAACTGGCAGTCAGTCCCCGTGCAGAGGAGTTCTGCTCCCTTTCCCAAAGCCTGGTGCAGTGGCTTGCACATCTCCGGGGACGGGGTGCTCACTACTCCCAGGAGTTAGATGAAGCCTGCACTGACCTTGCCCTGGGGCCTGTGGGTGCTGGATGCTCTGGGCTCCCTTAGCTGACGTGATCCCCTTGTGCCTAGCAGCTTCCCCCTGGGACCCATGAGCCCAGGCCAGGCCATAGCTGTGTGCGGCACAGCTCCACCTGGCTGCCAGGGAAGGCGGAGCCCTGCCTGTCATGCGCCGGCCTTAGACATGACCAGGCATAGGGGCCACCCTAATACTGGCTCATGTGAGTGGCCTGGGGCCATGGAGCTGCAGCCACCCTCGCTGCTGTCGCCCTGTGGGTGAGCTCTGCACAGGGTGTGTTTCCTGGGGGCCCTGAGCCCAGCGCCACCCCATCAGGGCTAGGCCATGGCTTTGGTGTGTGTCACACAGTCCCAGGGAAAGCTGGGCCACCCGGGGTGTTGGGGATGCAGGCCTTGGATCCTGGGCATGTGCTCCTGCTGCCCTGTTGGGCTTTGCAGACCAGGCCCAGGGAAGGGCAGCATCGTCCCCAGGAAGGACTGGGCAGCACTGTCCCTTGGTGGCCACGGCCAGTGCTGGCCTGGGGCACTGAGGGCTCCTGTGTGCAACTGAATGTGCTGCGGTGTGAGACCCAGAGCAGGCTCTAAAAGCAAACAAAATCTCTCTTGAGGGATCTTCATCTCGATTGCGTATTGGAGAGAGGATATCCTGATAGATTGGCTACATAAAATGTCCCCTTCAAGTCCCTCTGGGTCATTTCCTTTTCCGAACATGACCACTAGAAAATCTTGGATGACACCTGTAGCTTGACACCAGATGACGCTGCTCTCAGAGGGCACCGAGCCACCCCATCACCTGATTAGTCTGTGGGGATGTTGGGGCTGGGACCTGACGGCTTGTCCCAGGACACTGTCCTGAATAAGGGGAGGGGCAGGGCAAGGGCACAGGCTGTCTGCCAGCTGCTTCCTGAGGACAGAGTAGGGTGGGAAGGCAGTGCCATCAGCCCTGTTGTCCTTCAGCCTGCATGCATTGAGCACCAGCTGCATGCAGGGACAGGGCTGTACCCAGGATTCCCTGGGTGAATGGATGGTGGCGGGGGATGGGGCCTCAAGGTGGCCCCGCCCCCAGGCCTTCAGGCCACACCCCAGTCAGCGGGCCCTGCCCCCGGCCTGCCCACTCCAGATCCCATTGTCCGTCTTCCCCTGTGGACCCCATGTCCCCCTCATCTGAGCCCAGACATTCCTAGGCTCAGGACTCAGGCAGCAGGACCCAGGGACCCAGAGCTTGAAGGTCAGAGTCAACTCCCTGCAGACAAAGACAGCAAGCCCACTCGGGCTTCTGAGGTGGCATTGGACACATGGGGTGCAGGACCATCCTGGGATGTCGCTAAAGCCTGGAGCACAGCAGCCCTGACCAGCATGGCCTCTACCCCTAGACCCTCGGGCCCTCAAAGGTCACCAGAAGTCGGCGGGGGGACTCGAAGGGGAGATCCCACCTGGGCCAATTACCAGCTCTCACTGTGTGACCTTGGGCACAGCCTTGTGACCTGGGGACCTCGGGGTGCTCTCCCGTACAGGAGAGGGTGAGGCTGGGCTCCCAGGGGTTCATCTGTCTTCAGAAGGAGGGGATGGTTCCCCTTGGTCAACAGAGAGTGTCCTTGGGCAGGAGGCCAGGGCTCACGTGCTGGGCCAATGGGGCAGGACAAAAGCCACAGGGTCCCCCAGAGAGGCAAGGCCCAGCTGGCCTTGGACGTGTGCCTGCCACTCTGACTCTGCCTGCTGTTTTGGGATGAGGTAGCTCTAGCCGTCTGCAGAGTCCTCATTGCGGTCCAGGGCTGCCGACAAGTGTCACCGGCTTTGGGTGATGCTGTTTGCATATTGTAAACCAAGACGGAGCTCTTGAGGAGGCTGAGCTGGGGGCCACACTGAGCTGGAGAGGCCAGCGCTCGGCTCCGGAGCCCGGCTCAGCCCCTGCCCAGTAGGGTCCAGGCCTGGAGTCCTGGGGACCAATGCGGGAAGAACAGGCTCCTGCATCACCACAGACAGCCTGGAGGTGGGGGTGATTTTCTCGCTGGCCCTGGTGCGGAAAGGGGCCCAGGGCAGCCCAGGGTGAGATGACGGGAGTGGGCTGTGGCTCTGCTCCCCATTCCCCTGCTCCCAGCTCCGCCTCACCCTGCCCGCTGTGGGCCTGGTGCCCCCATGCCCTCCTGGCGTGGGACCCACAGGGGACAGCGTGCGTGTGAGGCCGCCTGGGTCGGAACAAAGGCCTGGGGCGTGCGGGCTCCGGCGTGTTCGGACCTGGTGCGGCTTCTGCAGGGCTGTGTTTACGACGACGATGGAAGAGCTTAGTGTGGAGACTCTGACTCAGCCGGGCCGGGCGGGGCAGGCAGGGCTGCAAGACGGGGATG